CGCTCACTCACGAAAACGATACAGATCTTCGATCGTGACGAAAGCTCCGACGAATGAACGATAAAAGTCATTCCCGATTGGTTCGCTGCCGTTGAAAGCTCGATCTCACCATGATGCTCAACGGGTATCTGAAAAGTAAAAAAATACAAGTTGACCGGCCGAACGTTTTTATTCTACCGCTTCCGTTAACGTGCCGCGTACGTTTCGTCGTGGGTTTCTAAAGAGCAATCTAAATACTAATATCGAATCATCATGCCGCCTAAGACAAGTGGAAAGGCCGCCAAGAAATCTGGTAAAGCCCAGAAAAATATTTCGAAGACCGATAAGAAAAAAACTGCGCCGGCAGTCCGCCACAAAGCCTCGTACTGATCGCGCGTTTCTCTCATTATTGTATTTTCATATATTTGTTAGTCGTTTGTTTTGTGTCTCGTTAATTTGTTAATAATCTGTAGTGTATCGTGTTGTCGTAATATAGAACTATTTCTCGTATTGTTTCGTTTAATTTTTTATATCCAGTAAACTCCAGTCGTGCGTCGGAGCGGACACACACACTTTTTTATTTATTTAAAAACGTACTGCCAAACTACAAACATTTCACATTGAAAATAACTTAAACTATTTAATTTATGGCCTGATGCATGTGACAATAATGGCGTACATAACATTGGCAATTCATCGGCTCGAAGATGGAATACAATAATAATAAAAAAGAACACCTAATGAAAACATACTTTGAAATTCAAATTGAACAAGTAAAACAGTATTATTTGTTGAAATATTAATAAAAATTCAATACATTATTACAGATTCTCGAGGCCTTAGAATTCGTGAGTTTCGTTTTCCAACCATCTTCGATGAGGCCTACCACTACGCACTTGAACAACGCGGAGGTCGCCGTCGGAGTACTAGTGTCGCTACTGTGTTTATTCTTCTCCGCGCTGCTGATCGTCGGATTATACAAGGTAAGCTTTCAAATTATTAAAATTATAATTTGCGTAACTACTGGTGGTAGGACCTCTTGAGAGTCCGCGCGGGTAGGTACCACCACCCTGCCTATTTCTGCCGTGAAGCAGTAATGAGTTCGACTTGAAAGGTGGGGCAGCCGCTGTAACTATACTTGAGACCTTAGAACTTATATCTTAAGGTGGGTGGCGCATTTACGTTATAGATGTCTATGGGCTCCAGTAACCACTTAACACCAGGTTAACTAACCGGTCGCTTTTCGACGGACACTTTGTCACTGTCTACAGACGTTCACCCCGATCCTGCTTTATTTTTTTATTTTTTATTGCCTTTGAAGGCAAACGAGCATACGGCCCACCTGACGGTAAGTGGTCACCGTCGCTCATGGACATCAGCAATGCCAGGAGCAGAGCCAAGCCGCTGCCTACCATAAAGTACTCTCTGCAGGCCTCATTTGAAGAAGGACATGTCATATCGCTCGCAAAACACCGTGGAGGGGAGTTCATTCCAAAGCCGGATGGTACGTGGCAAAAAAGATCTTTGAAAACGCACTGTCGATGAACGCAGCGGTTCCGGCTTCTCCACCTCGCGTCGCTTTCTTCATTACTGACGTCACCGTGATTCTCTCTGCTGTATCATTCTCTCACGTACAAACTTCCCTCCATCTGCTGCAATTCTTGTCTTCGTGAAGCGCATCGTGGAACTTGATTTTCAGAGAAGATTTAACTTGGTCAGACCATCTCGTGGGACTACGTCCTCTGAGACGTTTGACCCCTATCTCGTCACCATCGGATATTCGAGATTGTGACCTTCTTATCGAGCAATGTGCCTATAGAACAGAACCCTCCATATATGTCATGTAACATTCTAACTGAATGATAAAGTAATCTCTAAGTACAGTACCAAAAGAGCTACGGTCCTGTGAAGAAACTCCGAAACGTACTCAAATCAGAGAACAGATAATGGACTTAGTAAACATAGATACGGCATAAATAAGCCGTAATGAAAATGTCTTAAAGTAATTGCCGCAAACAATACTTTTTTTATAGGACCGCCCCTCCTACTTGAAGGCGTACATGATATACGCCATTATCGTGATCACATTTTCAACAATCGGTTTCTTCATGCTCCTATTCACGAGACCCTCGGAAATGGGCCTACGTGGGTTTTTCAATATGGTAATTTCGATCAGTAAGTTCATTTTTAATACTAATTTAATAAAAGTTTATATACGTGCATAGCCTCACTAGTATTTTCAGTGGGAGTTGGAGTATGTAATTGGAACAGCGCCCCTAGCGCTAAACAAAGGGAACCACAAGAGCTCAAAAACAACGTTAACGCCTCCACTGACCTTGTAAGATCAAAGTCGAGAAGCCATGGCTTCGAAGATAACACGCCCCGTGCATTCGTATCGAGCAATGCGACTGTGTCGGTGTTCGAATCCCGCAGGCAGGCACTAAATATTTCTAATAATATACGTACTTAACAAATGGTCACGTTTGACTTTCACGGTGAAGGAATAACATCGTGTAATCTAGACAGTAACTATACTTGAGATCTTAGAACTTATATCTCAACGTGAACACGAAAATATATGTGAGACGGCGCGAAATCGAAAGAAGTTTTCAAAATAATATAGGTACGTGTTCCAAATTTAAAATAACTAGTGGTCCCGCAGTAGTCGAAATTCGACTATAATTAATTGGAATTGTAAGTTTGTAAACTATTATGATTGTATTTTATACTTCTATAATCACAAATTTCGCCAAGGCTACACTATAAAAAAATATTAGTAAAGACAAACAATATTGACCACAGACGTCAAGAACAAAAGTTTGACAATAAATAGTATGCATGCGTGTGTGCGTCAAATACATGGTATGTAGTGTGTGTAATGTTTTCTTTATTGATTTAATATACCTTTTATACATTATTTAAAAAAATAATTGCATTGTGCACTCCTTCTCTATATTCTCTATAAGTGTGGGAAAATTTATACTCCTCCGTCCGCGCAATTTTCGTAAAAAGGATTACAAAGTTTTTCCTTCACGAATTAATATATAAGTATAGATTAAAAAGTTGAAAAAAAAAAAAGTTTTTATGTAACAGTATTCATGGGCAGACTAGTTATATAGAACACCACATTAAGCTGCATAAGTAGTTTACATAAGTGTTTATTACGATTTGGAAAATTCGATGAGATTTCTGAATTAATCAATATTTTTCAGCGCTACTCGTTCTAAGTTTGCTCGCGGTACGTGCCTACCACGCCCAAGGAAGAAGCTACAATAATAACAACCAACGTGGAATTATCTGAATATCTTAAAATTTATATAAAGTCTAACAGTACAATTAAAACTTGTAGATAAATCAATGTTATCGTATCTATCCTATTGGAGCTTTTTATAAGCTTGTCTTTACGTATATCAAAGCCACCAGTAATACTTTAATAATTGAATACTTTCTGTTCAATCATGAACAGAAAGTATTCAACTTTTGAAGTTGTCGTTGAAGTGAAAACTTAGCACCGTCGCGATTTGACTGATGAAACGAAAATGTGACATTAAAAAGAGATAAACATATACAACATCACACAGTAAGCTCATATACAAATAAGAATACTTGATAAATTCGTAATGATACAAAGAGTATTTGTGAATAGCATCGATGTGCGCCCAACAGTGGGCTACCGTTTTTGGTGGTTGGCACTTCAGTGTCACCAACTAGTCTAAAATAAGGAATATAGGTAATCACACCTGGAGATTTACTATAATTATTTTATTTGTATTTCATTTCTTCCTTAATATTTAGTAAGGTCATGTGGAAGAAAAGAAGAGCAAACTATATAATAGGTTGGGGAAAAAGATTCTTCGCATTTTTTAAGAAAATTCACAACATTTTTAATAAAGTTTATTTACATTTAACTAAAGTATGCAGGTACCATTTTGTTCGATAATTTTTTGCCATCGTATAGGTAGGGACATGATCCCATTGCTATAGAAATTTTGGGGCTTCTGATCAAAATACTGTGACAATTGGTTTTGGCAGTCCTCTCGTGATGTTAACCTGACACTGCCTAAAGAATTCTGAAGAGACCGAAACTGGTGAAAATCTGAAGGTGCAAGGTCAGGACTACAGGGTGGATGCATTAACACCTCCCAGCCAAGCTCTCTTAATTTTTGCTGAGTGGCTAGTGATGTGTGAGCTCTAACGTTATCATGATGAAAAACCACACCCCTCCTGTTGATTAATTCCGCCTGCTTTCTCTCAATTTTTTGCTTTAATCTCATCAGTTGTTCGCAGTAAAGTTCAGAATCGATGGTCCTGCCTGGTGGTAATAGCTCATAATGAATAATGCCTTTCCAATCAAACTATACACACAGCATCACCTTGTTGCGAGTTAGCCCGGGTTTCGCCACAGTCTGTGATGCCTGACTGGCCTTTGACTACGACCTTTTTCGCACGTTCTTGTCGTACGTGATCCACTTTTCATCACCGGCTATCAGCTTCTTCAAAAATGGTTCGGTTTCATTACGTCGTAATAAAGAATCACAAATGAGTACACGTTTCATTAGATTTCTTTCAGCGAGCCCGTGTGGTACCCAAATAACAAGCTTTTTTACCCAGTTTTTTTTCAAATGCGCCAAAACTATTTTGTGGCCAATTCCCAGTTCTTCAGCTACGTCGTAATTACTGATATGCCGATCTTGCTCCACTTTTTCAAAAATGGCATCCATTTTATCCGTAATAAAGCAACCAGGGCGACGTGCATCTTTGACATCAAAATTTCCGGATTGAAAACGCTTAAATCAAATTTGTGTTACTCTCACAGACACTGCACTAGGTCCATAAACATCGCAAATTTTTTGCGGCTTGCGTTGCATTTTTACCTGTTTTGTAGTAAAATTTTAAAATGTATCGAATTTCTTCATTAGATTAACTCATTTTGACAGTACGAAAAATAAATAAAAATCACACATTTTCCTAATATGAATTTGGATGAAAATTTAAACTTTTAATGATACCAAAACCAGCCAGATACAAATAGTATAGACAAAGAGATTTTATTACAAGTTCATACATACTAAAATGCGAAAAGACTTTTTCCCCAACCTATTACTTCAAATAAGAAAATGCCCTGACAAACAGAGTATTTATTTAACTTAAGGCATAAACATATTATTATGCCTTTGATTGCCATGTAGGTCACCGGTGCCCTACGTGGCCCACTGAAGTGATTTGTCGATTGTCGTTTCGATTGTTTGAGGGAATGTCGATTTTTCTCTTACCTACGCCCGGTTTTCCTCCCGCTGTACAGGGAAGAAAGTCAAACTATTGCTTCCGCTGTACAGGGAAGAAAGTGTAACTTTTCCTCCCTGGGTACTGACAAGTGCGCATGCGCGTTAGTGTCTACGTCTGCTCTCACGCACCTAAAATTCTCCACCATTGTTGTGCTCGGGTAATTTGCAATATTGTGTTTAGTGTAAAAGTGAAATAAACAAAATGCAATAAAATTTAATACTGAAGTATTAAACAAAGATGAGTTCATCAGACAGTTCTTATTCAATTAGTAGTAGTTTATTTAAAAATTAAAAAACAGTTAAATTGTTTTTTTATGAGTACGGGAGGGCCGGCCCTACCCCCCGGCAGGGCTTCGCCACTGGACCCCGGCTCGGTACTCCACGAACTTTCGGCCTGGTAGGAGAAAGGATGTGCACCACGAGAAACAATGTACTATTCTTTGACATAAGCTAAAAAAAAACAAATAGTCATATTATGCTGGACTGCGTGCCATTGTAACAAGGCTGAATATATCATAGTAATATTTATAAATCATGCTATTATTACTATTGTAACGTAAGGTACTTATTTTATTAAATAATATTGTAAATAAATTATTTTATTCTGTTTTAATACCTACTCGTAAATGAGTTATCATTTAAAATGAAATTATAACAGGCTATGTTGTGTACATGGAGACGGGGACAAGGGAATCGTTCATTGTTCAGTTTGTTTAGTTGTGATAATCGGGTGCTTAGCTTAATTTACCTATTAAGATGGAAACTTCGAAGTTAACCTTCTTATCGTGGCCGCTGCAAGTTACATACCCGACCCAGATGAGTCGGCATCAAAGAGGCGTCATCGCCCCAAACATGTCCTCACGGATTCTTTATTTTTTTCTTTTTTTATTACTTAGATGGGTGGACGAGCTCACAGCCCATCTGGTGTTAAGTGGTTACTGGGGCCCATAGACATCTACAACATAAATGCGCCACCCACCTTGAGATATAAGTTCTAAGGTCTCAGTATAGTTACAACGGCTGCTCCACCCTTCAAACCGAAACGCATTACTGCTTCACGACAGAAATAGATAGGGCTGTGGTACGTACCCGCGCGGACTCACTAGAGGTCCTACCACCAGTAATAACATTTCGATTCACTCTCGGTGCTTTTAGACAATCCAAGCACCGGTCACCGTTCGACGTACAACTTAACCCATAGACACAGCCCACTGAGTTTCTCGTCGGATCTTGGCGTCGCAATTCCGGTGGTCGATTCAGCGAAGCACTGCTCTTGCTAGCGTAGATACTAGCAAACTCTTTTAAGATGAGCTCCGTGATTTCACCCACACGTCAGGCTGTAGCCAGAATAGCCCCTCGAGTCTACTAATATAGATAGGTAAGCAAAAATAATATCTCTTTCTGTACTTTTTCATAATGGGTGACCAAGGAAATCGCTTTTTTTTTATTGCTTAAATAGGTGGACGAACTCACAGGCCACCTGGTGTTAAGTGGTTACTGGAGCCCATAGACATTTTCAATGTAAATGCGCCACCCAGCTTGAGATATAAGTTCTAAGGTCTCAAGTATAGTTACATGCATGTATGTAGTTACATGTATAGTTACATAGCCTGAAAATGGGCAACAGAATCTTCAGAGTTTCATGCCAGCAGGCTGCGTTCGGTAAAAGTCATTCGACTGATAGTGAGATGTGGTATAAATCCGAACGGGTGATATCATCATCTTGTCGATATCAGCGGCGAAGCAGTAATGTGTTTCGATTTGAGGAATAGGTCCACCATGATTGAGAATATAATTGAGACCTCTACCTCATATCTCAAAGTGGGGGTGGCATTCACCGAGTGATCTCTAAGGGTACAGGTACTAGCTAATACTGGATTTGATGGTCCGTCCAACTATAGAAATAAATATAACTTAATGTTGTCACGTCGAACAATTGATAGGTATTAAATAAAATTTTAGTAATTCGGTGAACTTTTAATACATTTCAATGAATATCTGGGCCGACTATTATATGTATTTAAGGTCTGTAATCTCTGATTTCCAAATATATCCGATAGCTCGCGACCTTAAAATAGCAATGAAAGGACTTTATTCCTATTTATGCGTATAAAGGGATTAATGCTCTAATCTCCAATAGGAACGGGGTCAAACAACCTGGTTCACGAAAATATAATATTGATCAGAATGCCAGACTCTATGTCGCCTTCGCATTGTCAAAGAATAAATTTCGGTTCAAAGTCAGAAAGGGCACAATACATCGATAACCATTTGAAGTGTTAAGTGCGTTCTAGTTTAGGCAGATTTTTTTCTATTTTGAGGTATTAGAAAGTGAAGTCGCTGTGCCTAAAATAAACCGCGCAATCTTCTTATTTTTCTCCACCTTATCCCACTATGTGGAGTCGGCACAGCTAATTTTTCTCTTCCATTCTTTTCTATCAGCCGTCATCTCAACACTCACTCCTCACGCTCTCTCATGTCGTCATTCACACACTCTATCCGTGTCTTCTTCGGTCGACCTCTTCCCTCTCTACCTTGCACTACCATTTCAATAACGGCCGTCTGGTGTAGTGGTAAGTGACATGGTCACTACACAAGGGGGTTGCGGGTTCGAATCCCGCCAAGGGAAGATATTTGTATTATAAATATAAATGTCTTTTCCAGGGTTATGGATGTATATTAACTATATGTATGTGTATAATAAAAATCTTACATTTATATCCGTTATCTGGTACCTGTAACACAAGTTCTTTACGAACTTATCACGGGACCAGTTAACGTGGCGTGATTGTTAGTAAATATTTATTTATTTATTTATTTGTTTCATCATTTCATCTCTTAGTCACATGCATCTTCTCTCTACGCATCACATGTCCATAACACGCTAACCGTCCGCCCTTTAATAAATAAGCCTAAATAAGCCGCGCAATATTCTTTCATAAGTATTCGTACGCTATGCAAATATGCCGATGCTCAAATATCGTATATAGTTACCAAGTTTACTGGTGGTAGTACGTTTTGTGTGCATAAACATTAAGTTACTACTGAACGGTTAGTAAGTGTAGTA